GTCTGTGGGCTGGGGACTTGACTGGGGGCAGAGCCAGGCCTGTGCTGGCCCTGGGCTGCAGTTTCTCCATCTGGGGGGCAGAGAGACCAGGCGGGCACAAGCCTTTCATTCTGTGTACTCCTTGCAGGTGGCACGGCACTACCTGCGGCTGGCCAGCGAGACGGATGAGGAGCTCAACAGCTGTACAGCCGTGGGCTGGCTGGTCCTTGCGGCAAAGCACGGCCGGCGGGAGGCTGTCCGCCTGCTGCGCCGGTGCCTGGCGGACAGGAAAGGTGGGCATGCTCGGGCGTGACCCCCAGGAACCCAGTGCAGGGCTGTGGGATCCAGCACCGTGTACATCCTGTTTGTGGCCATACCCACTGCTGGGCTACTGGGTCGGACCATAGCATCTGGCCTGGTGCATCTCCGTTCCCGTGGTCAGGATGGGGTCTGTGAATGGTAGTTACCACCCCTTTTCTTCTGGATTCTGATGAGAAAAGCAGGTCCTGGAGCAGTGAAGAGGGTCAGTGGGCTGAGGCCAGCCACTCCCCCGAGCAGGCTGCCCATCCAGGGTGGGCAGAGCTGCCAGGGGCCTCAGTCCCTCAGATGCTGTGGGAGAGGCAGGGGAGGAACCTGTGTTCGTGGTTGGCCTTGGGAAGAGGGGGAAGGGAGGGCGTGAGGCCAGGGCAGACAGGACTGGAACCTGCATGAGCCCAACCTTCCCAGCCCCAGGGAGGCTGGGGCACAGGCGGGCTTGGTGACAGCAGTCGTGGCCCAGGCATCCCCAGTGAGGGCGGTCATGGCCCCAGTGCCCCAGGTGATGGCAGTCATCATGGCCCAGGGGTTCTCAGGTGTCCCTGGTGAGGGCAGTCATGGCCCTGGTGCCGCAGGTGACAGCAGTCGTGGCCCAGGGATTCTCAGGTGTCACCGGTGAGGGCAGTCATGGCTCCAGTCATCCAGGGGTTCTCAAGCATCCCCGGTGAGGGCAGTCATGGCTCCAGTGCCCCAGGTGATGGCAGTCATCATGGCCCAGGGGTTCTCAGGTGTCCCTGGTAAGGGCAGTTGTGGTCCTGGTGCCCCAGGTGACAGCTGTCGTGGCCTAGGGGTTCTCAGGCGTCCCTGGTGAGGGCAGTCATGGCGTCAGGGCCGGTGACAGCAGTCGTGGCCCAGGGGTTTCTCAGGCGCCCCTGGTGAGGGCAGTTGTGGCCCAGGGATTCTCAGGCATCCCTGGTGAGGGCAGTCGTGGCTCCAGTCATCCAGGGGTTCTCAGGCGTCCCCGGTGAGGGCAAACATGGCCCCGGTGCCCCAGGTGATGGCAGTCATCATGGCCCAGGGGTTCTCAGGTGTCCTTGGTAAGGGCAGTTGTGGTCCTGGTGCCCCAGGTGACAGCTGTCGTGGCCCAGGGGTTCTCAGGTGTCCTGGTGAGCACAGTCATGGCCCTGGTGCCCCAGGTGATGGCAGTCATCATGGCCCAGGGGTTCTCAGGTGTCCCTGGTAAGGGCAGTTGTGGTCCTGGTGCCCCAGGTGACAGCAGTCATGGCCCAGAGGTTTCTCAGGCGCCCCTGGTGAGGGCAGTTGTGGCCCAGGGATTCTCAGGCATCCCCGGTGAGGGCAGTCATGGCTCCAGTCATCCAGGGGTTCTCAGGCGTCCCCGGTGAGGGCAAACATGGCCCCGGTGCCCCAGGTGATGGCAGTCATCACGGCCCAGGGGTTCTCAGGTGTCCCTGGTAAGGGCGGTTGTGGTCCTGGTGCCCCAGGTGACAGCAGTCGTGGCCCAGGGGTTCTCAGGCGTCCCCGGTGAGCGCAGGCATGGCCCTGGTGCCCCAGGTGACAGCAGATGTGGTCCTTCCTGCAGGCATCACCTCTGAGAACGAGCAGCAGGTGCAGGAGCTGACCTCAGAGACGGAGCTGGAGCGGGCGGTTCGCAAGGCGGCCCTGGTCATGTACTGGAGGCTCAACCCCAGGAAGGAGAAGCGCGTGGCCGTGTCAGAGCTGCTGGAGAACGTGGGCCAGGTCGATGGGCACGGTGCGTGTGCAGCCTGACTGGGGGGCCTGGGTACCAGGTCTGTAGGCTGTGTCCGGGCTGTGGGGCTGGGGCTGCCAGAGGAATGGCCACCGGGGTCTCACCTGCCGTGTCCCCACAGATGGGGGAACCCGGCCAGGCCCCGTCCCCAAGGCCCTGCAGAAGCAGAGGCGGATGCTGGAGCGTCTGGTCAGCAGTGAGTGTGAGTACCGCCGCACCCCTGGCTTACCATCCCAGCTCCTACCCAGCAGCCTGCCTCCCCAAGACTGCTGCAGGCCCCACCCACTCTCCCCTGGGGACCCAGGCCAGTCCCTGCCAGGACATGAGAGCACAAGTGGGTGGGCAGTGAATGGGTGTGGAGTGTGTCTGGTCTGGTCCATTCAGGGCGACCTGTCCCGGGTCAGTGTTCCAGGCACAAGGCACCTCTCTGAGGGAGGGGCGACATGAGCCAGAGACCAGCAGCAGGGCCAGCAATGGATGTATTGGAGTACCCCCGGGGAGTCCGCTGTGGTGGGGAACAAGTGGGCCCGGGCAGAGGGGTCACTGACCTAGGGGAGCACAGCACAGGTCGTAGGGAACAGGCTGCAGGGCAGGGAGGTGGCTCTCTGCAACCCTCCCTCACCAGTCCAGCCTGATTGTCTCCACCCCCCTGTGCCCTCATCAGCCATGTACCAGCTCAGTGTGCTGCCCCGATTGTCTGCCCCTACTGGCACCTGGGCTCTGTCTCGGCCCTGGGGGGACCCACATGCTCTCTCACCTGCTGCAGCCAAAAACTACATTGCTCCGGATGACTTTGTGGAGATCACCAAGAAGTACGCTAAGGGCATCATCCCGAGCGGCCTGTGCCTGCCGGACGGGGATGGGGATGACGATGACGAGCTGGCTGGGAGGAGCCCTGAGGACCTACCGCTGCACCTGAAGGTGAGGGCACCTGGCCCGTGCAGGCACCAAGCACTCCTGCCCTAGTGACGGGTCCTGGGGCCACCCTGCAGGGCTTCTGTTCTCTGTTGAACTCCTTTCAGCTGATAGCCTAATCACACTACGTTACACAACTGGACTTATAAGCAGCATCACGATAAATGGAGAAAAGATTAAAGTTGTCAAAGACTTCACATTGCTTGGTTCTACAGTCGACACCAATGGAAGCAGCAGTCAGGACATCAGACGACGTATAGCACTGGGCAAGTGGGCTGCAAAGGACCTCTTTCAAGTGCTGAAGAGCAAAGATGTCTCCTTGAGGACTAACGTGCACCTGACACAAGCCGTGGTATTTTCAGTCACCTCATATGCATATGAGAGCTGGACAATGAGTAAGGAAGACCAAAGAAGAGTTGATACTTTTGAGTTGTGGTGCTGGCAAAGAATGCTGAAATACCATGGATTGCTAAAAGATCTAACAAATCTGTCCTGGAGGAAGTGCAGCAGGAATGGCCAGACTTCGTCTCACCTACTTTGGTCATATTGTCAGAAGAGACCATTCCCTGGAGAAGGATGTCATGTTTGGTAAGGTGGAGGGTTGACAAAGGAGGGAAGGCCCTCAACGAGATGGAATGGCACAGTTGCTGTGGCGACAGGCTCAAGTATAGCAGGGATCATGGAGCTGGCACAAGACCAGGCAGTGTTTCCTTCTGTTGTTCATAGGGTCGCTACGAGTTGAGGACAACGGCACCTAACAACAACACAATAACAACAACATAGTAGAGTACGGAACAGCAGCTAGCCTCTACCCACTGCCATAGAGTCAATTCTGACCCACAGCGCCCCTAGAGGACAGAATGGCACTGCCCCAAAGGGTCTCCAAGGCTGTCAATCTTCACAGAAGCAAAGCCCAAACCACACCCACTGCCATGGAGTTGATTTTGACTCACAGCGCCCCTAAAGGGCAGAGTGGAACTGCCTGCCCCACAGGGTTTCCAAAGCTGTCAGTTTGTTATATTGTGGTGGCTTGTGTGTTACTGTGAGGCTGGAGGCTATGCCACTGGTATTTAAAATCCAGCAGAGTCACCCATGGTAGAGAGGTTTCAGCAGAACTTCCAGACTAATGCAGACTCAGAAAAAGGAGGGGGCCATCCACTTCTCAAAGAATTGGCCAGTGAATAGCAGTGAAACACTGTCTGATATATTACTGGAAAACCTGAGGAATAGCCCTGAAACATTGTCTGAAATAGTGCCGGAAGATGAGGCCCTCAGGTCAGAAGGCACTCAAAATACAACTGGAGAAGAGCTGCCTCCTAAAAGTAGAGTCTACTTTAATGACATGGATGGAGTAAAGCTTTCAGGACGCACATCTACTGATGAGGCACAACTCAAAATGGGAAGAAACAGCTGCAAACACCCATTAATAATCAAAACATGGGATATACGAAGTATGTTGTTGTTGCTAGGTGCCATCGAGTCATCTCCAACTCACAGGGACCCTATGTACTACAGAACGAAACGCCCCTAGTCCCGCGCCAGCTCCACAATCCCTGCTATACTTGAGTTCATTGATGCAGCACTGTTTCAATCGATCTCGTTGAGGGCCTTCCCCTCTTCCATTGACCCTCCACCTTACCAAGCATGACGTCCTTCTCCAGGGAGTGGTTCCTTCTGACAGCATGACCAGAGTAGGTGAGACGAAGTCTGGCCATTCTCACTTCCAAGGAGCATTCCAGCTATACTTCCTCCAGGACAGATTTGTTAGATCTTTTAGCAGTACGTGGTACTCTCAACATTTTCTCCAACACAACTCAAAACCATCAACTCTTCTTTGGTCTTCCTTATTCATTGTCCAGCTCTCACGTGTATATGAGGTGATTGAAAATACCACGGCTTGTGTCAGGTGCACCTTAGTCCTCAAGGAGACATCTTTCTCTTCAGCACTTGAAAGAGGTATTTTGCAGCCAACTTGCCCAGTGCTATATGTTGTCTGATGTCCTGACTGCTGCTTCCATTGGTGTTAATTCTAGAACCAAGCAATGTGAAGTCTTTGACAACTCTAAACTTCTCCATTTATCATGATGCTGCTTAGAGGTCCAGTTGTGAGGATTTTTGTTTTCTTTTTATTGAGATGTAATCAATACTGCAGGTTGTGGTCTTCAATCTTCATCAATAAGTGCTTCAAGTCATCCTCACTTTCAGCAGGAAAAGTTGTGTCATCAGTGTATCACAGGTTGTTAATGTATGAAGTATGAATCTAGGAAAATTGGAAGTTGACAAAAATGAACTGGAATGCATGAAAATCAGTATCTTAGGCATTACTGAGCTGAAATGGACCAGTTTTGGCCATTTTGAATCAGAAGACCATATGATCTACTATGCCGGGAATGACAAATTGAAAAGCAATGGCATGGCATTCATCGTCACAAAGGATGTTTCGAGATCTGTCCTGAAGTACAGTGCTGTCAGTGATAGGATAATATCCATACACCTACAAGGAAGACCAGTTAATACTACTACTATTCAAATTTACACACCAACCACCAAAGCCAAAAACAAGGAAAATTAACATTTTTACCAATTTTGACAGTTTGACCAAATATGCAATCAAGATATATTGATGATTACTGGTGATTGGGATGAAAAAGTTGGAGGAAAAGAAAAATCACCAGTAGTTGGAAAATGCAGCCTTGGTTATAGAAATGATGCTGGAGACTGCATGATAGAATTTTGCAAGACCAACCACTTATTCATTGCAAATACATTTTTTCAACAACACAAACAGCAGCTATACACATGGACTTAGCCAGACGGAGTACACAGGAATCAGACTGACTACATCTGTGGCAAGAGGCAATGGAGAAGCTCAATATCTTCAGCCAAAACAAGGCTAGAAGCTGACTGTGGAACAGACCATCAATTGCTCATATGCAAATTCAAGTTGAAGCTGAAGACAATTAAGTCCACAAGAGGCAAAATATGACATTGATTATATCCCTCCTGAATTTAGAGACCATCTAAAGAATAGATTTGATGCATTGAACACCAGTGACCAAAAACCAGAGGAATTGTGTGATGACATCAAGAATATCATCCATGAGAAAAGTAAAAGGTCATTAAAAAGACAGGAAAGGAAGAAAAGACCAAAATGGATGTCAGAAGGGACTCGGAAATTGCCCTTGAACTGAGAGTAGCTAAAACAAATGGAAGAATCGACAAGATAGGAGAGCTGAACAGAAGATTTCAAAGAGCAGCTCAAGAAGACAAAGTCAGTTATTATAATGAAACGTGCAAAGACCTGAAATTGTTGTTGTTGTTATGTGCTGTCCAGTTGGATCTGACTCATAGCGACCCCTCATTGGGTTTCTGAGCCAGTATCACTACGGAAGTAGATTGCCCAGCCTTCCTTCTGAGGAGTGGCTAGTGGGTTTGAACCGCCAGCCTTCTGAATAGCAGTCAAGTGCCTTAGGCATTGTACTACCTAAAAGGGAAGAACACGCTCAGCATTTCTCAAGTGGAAAGAACTGAGGAAAAATTTAAGCCTCAAATTGCAGTATTGAAAGATTCCATGGGCAATATGTTGAATGATGCAGGAAACACCAAAGGAAGATGAGATGAATGGAATACACAGTCACTATACCAAAAAGAATTGGTAGATGGTCATCCATTTCAGGAGGTGGCATATGGTCAAGAACCAATGGTATTGAAGGAAGAAGTCGAAGCTGTACTGAAGGAATTGGTGAAGAACAAAGGTCCAGGAGTTGACAGAATACCCACTGAGATGTTTCAACAAACAGATGCCCCTCTGGAGGCACTCACTCAGCTATGCCAAGAGATTTGGAAGACAGCTACCTGGCCAGCTGACTGGAAGAGATCCATATTTGTACCCATTCCAAAGAAAGGTGATCCACCAGAATGTGGAAATTATTGTGCAATATCATTAATATCACACGCAAGTAAAATCTTACTGAAGATAATTCAAAAATAGTTGCAGCAGTATATTGACAGAGAACTTCCAGAAGTGCAAGCTGGATTCAGAAGGGGACATGGAGCAAGGGATATCATAGCTGATGTCAGATGGATCTTGTTTCAAAGCAAAACCAGAAAGATGTTTGCCAAAGGAGCAAGGAAGCCACATGTTCTGACCTCCTCTAACCCCACAAGAGGAAGACAGAATCGCCATCAGTAGCCCAAGGTCTATTCCAGGCAGGCCAAACATGCTGCCTCCCTCCAGCCCTTTCACCAACCCTGACACCAACCGTTCCTCCCACAGCACTCACCACCTTTCTGCTGGGTTAGATAATTCACTGCAGTGGCCACACAGAACTCACAGATTATGGGGTTTATTAGGGAAGCACAGGCTACAATTCAAGTTCAGGAAAAATGTTCAGTCTCTCTCCCAGCCCACCATCTCTCAGCCAACAGTCTCTCTCCCAGCAGTATGTGTCTCTTGCATCTCTTTCCCAGCAGCCCGTGTCTCTCAGGAGCATGTCCTTCCTCAGCCAGAAGTCAGCGAGTTCTGCCTCTAGGAGGCCTCCTTTTGAGCCCTGCAGAGTGGCCAAACCAACCAATCATAACAGCAGAATTCTAAGCACCTGAGAGAGAGCGAGAACCTCCCAGAGCATTGTTCTGGCCACTCCCAACAGAGATACCCCAGACGGACAACTTTCGCAATGCTAAAAGAACAGATCTGTCCTGGAGGAAGTGCAGCTGGAATGCTCCGTGGAAGCGAGAATGGCTAGACTTCATCTCACCTACTTTGGTCATGTTGTCAGAAGGGACCATTCCCTGGAGAAGGATGCCATGCTTGGTAAGGTGGAGGGTCAACAAAAAAGGGGAAGGCCCTCAACGAGATGGACTGACACGGTGGCTGAAGTGATGGGCTCAGGTACAGTAAGGATCGTGAGGCTGGCGCAGGACCGGGCAGTGTTTCATTCTTCTGTGCGTAGGGTCACTATTGAGTCAGAGACAACTCAACGGCGCCTAACGACAACAGCAGCAGTTAGTTTCCTGTGGAAGCTCACATGATTGATTTTAGACCTCTCTTCTTTTCTGATACAGTTGTTCAGTGCTATACGTTTCCTCCAAGCATGGCTTTCTTCGAATCCCACAAATTCTGAGCAGTTATATTTTCATTTTCATTCTGTTCAAAATAGTCTTCAATTTCTCTTGAGACTTTTTCTTAAACCATATATTATTTTTCAGTGTGGTGTTTGATTTCCACATATGCAGGGGTTTTCCTTGTATCTTTCTATTGTTGATTTCTGCTTTAATTCCCTTCTTGTCTGAGAACCTACTCTGCGTGACTTCTGTTAGTCCGAATTTGTTAAGGTGGCTGTATGGCCCGGAACGTGGTCGCTCGTGGTGAATGTGCGTGTGAGCTGCAGCAGAGTGTGTGTGGTGCTGTTGGTGGATGGCGTAGTCTACGCGTCTGTTCCGTCTGCTTGATTGGTGGTGCTGTTCAGTTCCGCTCTGTCCTTGCTGGTTTTCTGCCTGCTGGCTCTGTTGGTTACTGACAGAGGGTGAGCCTCCCTGGTTTCCCGCAGTCCTGTCAGCTTCTGCCTCACGTATTTGCCGCTCTGTCATCAGACGCATACATGTTCAGGATTGTGTGTGTTGGAGAGCTGGCCCCTTCGTCGCTGTATGGAGCCCCTCTTGCTCCTGGTAATTTTCGGGCTTGAAATCTGCTTTGTGTGAAGCTGATGCTACCTTGGCTTTCTTCTGGTTGGCATCAGCCGGCAGATCTTTCTCTTTCCTCTGGATGGACTGTGCCTCTGCATTTAAGGTAGTTTCCTGCAGACAGCACGTCTTGTATTTTTACCAAACCCTCCAATCTCTGTCTTGTACTTGGCGTATTTACGCTGCTCACATCTAACGTGATTGTCAATCCAGGTCATGGCTGGCTGGTCTCCCGACTGCTCACCTTGTGATCAGGGCTGTGGTGGGAACACAACTGAGCGAGCTGGCTATTCTGCTGGGAGCTGGGGGCTGGAGAGGGCGGAGCGCTGGGCAGCGCGGGGAGTCCTCGTCCCGGCTCATACGCCCCTCTCGCCCCCCAGGTGGTCAGGTACCCCCTGCACACCATCATGGAGATTAAGGAGTACCTCATCGACGTGGCCTCCAAGGCGGGCATGCACTGGCTGTCCACCATCGTGCCCACCCACCACCTCCACGCCCTGCTCGTCTTCTTTGTCCTCAGCAACCTGACCATAGACTTCTTCGCCTTCTGCATCCCCCTGGTGGTCTTCTACCTGTCCTTCTTGTCCATGGTCATCTGCACCCTCAAGGTGTTCCAGGACAGCCGGGCCTGGGAGAGCTTCCGCACACTCACCGACCTGCTGCTGCGCTTCGAGCCCGGCCTGGACGTGGAGCAGGCCGAGGGCAACTTCGGCTGGAACCACCTGGAGCCCTACGTCCACTTCCTGCTGTCCGTCTTCTTCGTCATCTTCTCCTTCCCCGTGGCCAGCAAGGACTGGGTGCCCTGCTCCGAGCTGGCCCTGGTGGCTGTCTTCTTCACCGTGACCAGCTACGCCAGCCTGGGCACCTCGGCCGAGCCTCACACTCGCCGGGCGCTGGCCACCGAGGTGGCGGCAGGCCTGCTGTCGCTGCTGCCCACCCTGCCCCTTGACTGCCAGCTGCTGAAGCTGCTCAGCCAGACCCTGCTCCGCGTGCCCCTGGGCCGTCTGGTGGTGCTGAACCTCGGTGTGCCCTGCCTGCTGTACCTGCACCTCTTCTACTGCTTCTTCCGCATGGCGCGGCTCAGGCACTTCAAGGGCACCTACTGCTACCTGGTGCCCTACCTGGTCTGCTTCATGTGGTGTGAGCTCGCCGTGGTGCTGCTGCTGGAGTCCACCGGCCTGGGGCTGGTGCGGGCCTCCGTCGGCTACCTGCTCTTCGTCTTCGCCCTCCCCATGCTGGTGGTGGGGCTGGGCCTGCTGGGCCTGGTGCAGCTGGCACGCTGGGTCGTGTCCCTGGAGCTGACCAAGGCAGCCGTCACGGTGCTGGCGTGCGGCGTCCCGCTGCTGCTGCTGCGCTGGGGCGCCGGGGCCCGCGCCTCGGTGGCCAGCGCGCTGCACTCCCTGACCCGCAGCTCCATGGTCAAGCTCATCCTGGTCTGGGTCTCGGCCGTGGTGCTCTTCTGCTGGTTCTACGTGTACCGCTCAGAGGGCATGAAGGTGTACAACTCCACGCTGACCTGGCCTCAGTATGCTGCCCTGTGCGGGCCACGTGCCTGGCGGGAGACCAACATGGCACGCACGCAGATCCTCTGCAGCCACCTGGAGGGCCACCGCGTCACCTGGACGGGCCGCTTCAAGTACGTGCGGGTGACGGAGATCGACAACAGCGCTGAAGCGACCATCAACATGCTGCCCTTCGCCGTGGGCGACTGGCTGCGCTGCCTGTACGGGGAGGCCTACCCGTCCTGCGGTGCCGGCGGTGCCCCCACTGCTGAGCAGGAGCTGTGCCGCCTCAAACTGCTGGCCCAGCACCGCTGCCACATCAAGCACTGGGACCGCTACAAGTTCGAGCTCACGGTGGGCATGCTGCGCGGCAGCACCAACGGCACACGCAGCGCCGAGGAGGATGACGTCACGAAGGACATCGTGTTGCGCGCCAGCAACGAGTTCCGCGCCGTGTTGCTGGGCCTGCGCCAGGGTAGCCTCGTGGAGTTCAGCACTGTGCTGGAGGGCCGTCTGGGCAGCAAGTGGCCCGTCTTCGAGCTGAAGGCCATCAGCTGCCTCAACTGCCCAGCGCAGCCCTCACCGGCCCCGCGGCACGTCAAGCTTGAGCATGACTGGCGCAGCACCGTACACGGGGCCCTCAAGTTTGCCTTCAACTTCTTCTTCTTCCCGTTTCTGTCAGCCACATGAGGACGCGCCCCACGTGCGCCTGGCCCCAATGCAGGTGCCGAGTGTGTGTGTGAGGGTGCATTGTATGTGTGTACACGTGGGTGTGTGCTACATGGATGGATGGACGTGTGTGTGCATGTGTTCATGGGGGTGTTTGTTCATGGGGGTGTGTAGCCATGGGTGTGTGCTGCATGGATGGATGGATGTGTGTGTGCATGGGTGTATGTGTTCTCGGGTGTGTGTAGCCATGGGTGTGTGCTGCATGGATGGATGGATACGTGCCTGTGTGTACATGTATGTGTGGATGCACATGAGAGCTTGTATGTATGTGTTTGTGAGCGTGCACTCGTGTGTGTGAACCCTGGGCATCAAGACCTCACGTCCATGCAGACACTGCTCTCTCTATACTGCACTGCCCCCTTGCCTGCCCGCTGTGCATACCGCCTCCTTGGGAACTGCATGAGCTCCACCCACCACTGACACCTTTCTGAGTGAGGCTGGAGCCTTGACTCCTGTCCTCAGAAGCACTTTGGAGATGACTGTTTCCTCCCCACCCTTTCCCCGTGTGTCCTGTGCTGACTCTTCTCAAGAGCTGGGTGCTCTGCCTGCAGACTGGATGCTTCCTTATTTATCTCATCCACGCTGACCTGACAGCAGTCGGCACACGCTGGTCAAGGGCTTGGCAATGCTGCGATCCAGAGCTGGAGGTCCATGCCATCCGTCAGGGCTCAGGTCTGGAAGGTGTGAGGCACAGAGATTACAGCTCAAACTCACCGGGACTGGGGAACATGTGGTAACTAGGCCCCTCACTGGGCTCGGAAGGCCGGGTTGCACTCAACCCTAAAGCAGAGAGTGGACACTCTGAAATGAAGGTTGTAAAATGGAGTCCTTCCATGGTCTCTTTCAAACAAAGCTTCTTGTGCCACCTGTGAACACACAACAGGTGTGTGTGCATGTGTGTGTGCGCGTGTGTGCACACTCAGGGTGTTAGGCGCCAGATCAGGAATACAGCTGAGGAGCTGATGACCTGAGAGCCCCCACAATTGTAGGACTGCACCTCTGCATTCCCAGTTTCAGAGACTCAAAAGTGCCAGCCCTCCCCCTAGAGCTGCCAGGTAGGGAGGGGCCAGCGGGACAGAGAGGGCTCAGTGTCTGCACCGGCAGTGCAGCAAACACTAAGCCATGGCAGCCAGGTTGGTCCAGTGCCAGCCAGGCACCAAGGACCATGACTAGTAAAGACTGCATCCTCCCACAGTGACTGTGAACCCAGGGAACAGAGCAGGGTGGGTGCCCTCACAGTGCACACACTAACTGTGAATCCAGAGATGGGTACCCTCACAGTGCACACACTGTAACTATGGACCCAGGGGACAGAGCGGGCTGGGTGCCCTCACAGTGCACACACTATGAACCCAGGGGACAGAGGGGTGGGTGTCCTCACAGTGTACATACTGTAACTATGAACCCAGGGGACAAAGAGGGATAGGTGCCACCATGGGATGGGTGCCCTGGCAGTGCACACCCTATAAACCCAGGAGAGAGAGGGGTGGGTGCACACACTGTAACTCTGAACCCAGGGGACAGGGGTGGGTGCTCACACTGTAACTGTGAGCCCAGGAAATGGCAGGGTGGGTGCTCTCACAGACCACACACTGGAACTATGAACCCAGGTGACGAGTGGGCTGGGTGCCCTCACTGCTCACACTGTAACTATGAGCCCAGGAAACAGCAGGGTGGGTGCCCTCGCAGTGCACACCCCACGGTGACTGAACCCGGGGGACAGCGGAGAGGACACCTGTGCTTCACTGTCCGTGTCCCTAATGGGAACATGTGATTGAAAGCCCTGCTTGTACTTGATGGTGAAACATTAATATTCCCTAAGTCGGGGCCCTGATGGCATTGCAGCCCCTGGGTCTGTTAGCAGTCCCCGCCTGGGCGGGCCCTGAGCCCCTGAGCCCCACTTCTCCTTCAAGTTGGGGGACTGCCCTGGCTGCAGGCCTCCTTGCTTGTGGTTGGGAAGCAGGGGCGTGCCCTCTTTCTCATGCTCTTGTTGGCTTGTGTGGTGATGATCTGTAAGCTGTCGGTGCCCTGGGTCCTGTGGGAGGTGCCTGAACCCCCACGTGTTAGAGATGCACCTGGGGCGGGGTGTCTGCTTATGGGTGTCCCTGCATCCCAAGGCAACGGGCAGGTCACCCTCGTCTGTCTCTCCTGTGGATTTGTGAGCCGTGGACACACTGAGCTCTGCCCAGCCCTGATTGTCCAGGGGTCAGCCACGGGGACCCCCTGAGCAGGCCGGCTTCATCCATCTGCCATCATGAGGATGATAGGAACGGCCCACCCAGAGGGAATGTGGGCTGGGAGCAAGACCACATGCCTGTGAGCGCCGAGCTGGGATCGAGTTCTGCCTTTCGGGCAGTGCCCTCAGCCCTGGGCCTACTCCAGCCGCACTGCAGACCCCTTGGCACAACGCTGTGGAAATGAATCCGCCACTGCCTTCCGTGGCTGTGGGGCCCTCTTCTGCCTCAGTCTCTGCATCCCTACAATGGGGCAATAACAGGACCAGCCTTGGTGGTGGTCTGAGGGTTGAGTGAATCGGGTCCGCCTGGGATTTCTTCGGAACATTTGCTTGTTCAAAGCACATTCATGAAACTCTACAGTCCACTAAGAACCTGGAGACACAGCCTTGCTGGCTTCCAGCCTTTGAGGAAGTTAAACTGGGGGACGGAAGGCCTGTGTCGGAGCTGACCAAGGTGCTGACCCAGGTGGCACGGGGGTGGCAGCATCTGCCCGCAGCCCGTCATCTGGCTTCTCCCATCTCGGTAAATCCCGGGGCTGCCATTAGTCGGGGCTCGGCCAATCTCTGACTTCCCCAAACGTCCGCTGCCGAGCCTGCTAGTGGACACTGCTTACAGGGGTCCGCCCTGAGGACAGCCCAGCCTAGGGGTGCAAGTTGATTGTTGATCTCGGCTCAGCCCTCAGACAGGAAGCCGAGCGGGAGCACACGGGGACGGGATGTACTTTGGGGGCAGGGAGGGGCAGCGTCCCACCTGGGGCCGGCAGCCAGGCAGGCCTCCTGGAGGAGGTGGGGTTTCCTGGTACTGCAACACTGGCCATGAAGACGCCACAGCCCAGGGGCCCAGGTGGGGAGGGTGGAGGCCATGTGGGGAAGACAACTCAGAATTTGCCCTTGGTCCTCCAGACGGTGTCCCCTGGAGCTGGACAAGGTCGTGCAGAGCTGGGTCACGGACATGGGAGCGCCTGGAGCCCTGTCTGAAAGGGAAGGCCCACCCCACCCTCTGGCCTGAGTGGGACCCTGGAGCTGTGAGCGAGGAAATGTCCTTTGTCCCTCCTCCCAGCCCCTGAGGCCCCATCTGGGGGACCAGGCCTCACCCTGTGGCAGAGTGTGGGGTCAGAACTATTGGGCCAAGGCTTCTCCTTGGGGGAGGGCTTCCATTTCCCACATGGCCGTGGGGGTCTGGTGCTGTGTTGGGACACTCGGTCCTCACGACTGGGCTCCCATGCCTCCAACACCTCCCCGTGAGGATTCCCAAAGGCTATAGGGGCAGCCTGCTGTCCCTGACGGGAGGGCTAGAGCTGGGCGGGCACTGGCCTGGGTGCTCCAGCCATGGGGGTGCCTGTAGCACTTCCTCTTCCCAACATCACACTGTACTGTCTAAGTTGGATGTCCTAAGCCACGGAGTCGCTGGAGGTGGCTTACAGGGGCAGCCTGCTGTTAGGTGCCGCCAAGTTGCTTCCGACTTCTAGTGACCCTGTAGGACAGAGGAGAACTGCCCGGTAGGGGTTCCAAGGCTGTAAGCTTTATGGAAGCAAAGTCCCAACCAAACCCACTGCCGTCCAGTCAATTCCTGCTCCCAGCACCCCTACAGGACAGAGTAGAACTGCCCCATAGGGTTTCCAAGACTGTGATCTTTATAGAAGCAGACTGCCTCCTCTTTCTGTGGTGGAGTTCCTGTTGGGTTCAAACTGCTGGCCTTTTGGTTTGTAGCCGAGCTCTTAACTGTTGCACCACCAGGGCTCTGCACAGCAAAACTGGTCAGTCTGGATGAGCCAGGATGCACGCTGGGCTGCTTCAGGGTGCAAACTCCCAGCCAACTGGGCACACAGAGAGCTTGCGCCACTTGACACCCACAGCCAATGTCATGCTTAAGGGTGAGGAAGTAGACGCTCTCCCCTAAGATCAGGAATAAGACAGGGTTATCCCTGCTCCTACTCAGGAGAGCTCTGGTGGCACAGTGATTACCAAAAGGTAATCACAGCTGCTCACCAAAAGGTCAGTGGTCCAACTGCACCCCCAGCCACACTCTGGGGGAAAGACATAGCAGTCGGCTTCCATAAAGACTGTTGCTGTTAGTTGCCGTCGATTCAGTTCCAACTCACAGCAACCCTGTGTACAACAGAACGAAACACCGCCGAGTCCTGCGCCATCCTCACAATCCTTGCTGTGCTTGAACCCATCATCTCAGCCCACTCCTTCCAGTTGAGGGGCTCTCCCTTTTCCACTGACCCTCTACCAAACAATATCCTTCTTCAGGAGTGGCCCCTTCTGAAAACAGGACCAAAGTAGGTGAGATGAAATCTGGCCACTCTCGCTTCTAAGGAGCCTTCTGGCTGCACTTCTCCACATAGATTTGTTCATTCTTCTAGCAGCCCATACTCATTGCCATTGACTTGGTTCCAACCCATAGTGACCCGCATTAGGTTTCCAAGACTGTAAATCTTTATGGAAGCAGACCACCTCATCTTTCTTCCATGGAGCAGCTGGTGAGTTCAAACCACCAACCTTTAAGTTAGCAACCAAATGACTTAAACACTACACCACCAGAGCACCTAGCAGTCAATGGAACATTCAGTATTCTTTGACACCGTCATAATTTAAATGCAGGTTTCAAACACCTAAGGGAGACTAACTTGTCTGTCAGTTTGTCATACTGTGGTGGCTTCTGTGTTGCTGTGAGGCTGGAGGGTGTGCCAGCGGTGTTTCAAACACCGCAGGGTTGCAC